AATTCGTAAAATATAAATTGATCAAAATACCCTGAAATGTTTTTGGGGTATTTTGGTCAATTTATTTTTTACGAAATAGTTTTTTGATATTTTTATTGGATTCTAATAATTTTAAAGAACACACACGCAAATTTTCAAGAAATTTAAATTTATATAAAAAAAATTAAAATTAAAATACGAGATGCAATCGTGATCATTGGATCGGCCCAGATTCAATCTAGGCCGTTGGGTTCATATGTAGCTGTGGGCTAGTGGGCTCATATATGTATATAGGGAAATGTTGATGTGGCCCACTAACTCACAGCCTCATATGAGCTCAACGGCCTAAATTGAATCTAGGCTGATCTAACAGTCACAACCTCATTTCGTATTTGTATTTTAATTTTCTTTTAAAAATCTAAATCACTTGAAATTTTGAGCATGTATTATTTAAAAATAGGATAATCTAATAAAAATGTCAACAAATAATTTGTAAAAAATAAATTGACCAAAATACCCCCAAAACTTTTTAGGGGCATTTTGGTCAATTTATTGTTTGCAAATTACTTTTTAAATATTTTTATTAAGTGTGCCTTGATGAAAAGGATGGATTCCTAAAATTTCAAGTGATTTCGATTTGTAGAGAAAAAATTAAATTCAAATATGAAATGAAATCGTGACCGTCAGATCGGCTTAGATTGAATCTGGACCCTTGGGCACATATGTAGCTGTGAGCTAGTGGGTGCACGCCAGCCTTTGGGCTTGGACTTGCTTGAGTCACTTGCATCCAATAGGGTGCTAGGTCTGAATGGGAAAGACAGGGATTGAGCTCCAAACTTCTAATCACCAGAAACATGCTCGCACACACATGCACAAAGATTTTATGAACTGACCGGCCTGTGGAATAATATAGGTCAGATGGCCCAGATTGAGCCACGCCAACCTATCTGTACGGCCAGCATTGTTTGACAATGGCAGGCACATTTTGGCCCTTTCTTAGTGTATTGTTGCTTTTTTATTTTTCTTGGAGTGCCCAGGTTCAGAGCACAGGCCCACAATTTAAGTTCTATTGGATTTATAAAAAAAAAAGCTAAGAGTCAAACACTAATGTGCCGCGCTAGCTGTCCATATTGGCAAATTCAATCTAGGCAAAGAACCATATTTGGGGGTTGGGGGGGAGGGCTGTGATACTTAGGTTGACCTATAGGATAACATTGTACAAGTTCGCCTACATCCCATTTTTTGTGTTTTTTTCAAGGGTCACTTTTTGCATGCAAATCCTTTACAAATGTCCCCATGAGAAAAATTGAAGAAAAACAAAACCTAAGAATGGTTTATGAAGAGAACGAATACGGTGCATCGTCTATCAGGTGTCTATTTTGGTGCATTTTAAATCTATGGTTTTATGTGCTAAAAATCATTTTTTTTTGTAATTGCTCATCAAGTGTCTTTTAGGACAATCTTCGTAAAATAGCCCTAAAAAGATAAGAAGTAACAGTCTAACACCAAGAACTATTAGGTGAACTTGTGCAATGTTAGCCTATAAGCTAACCTCAGTTTCTATGCGCACAAGCGCACACATGTACACAAAACACTCTCACACACTCATATATGGACTTTCTTCCATAGTCCATTGTAATGGTGAAGTTAGATAGTCCTACTCTCAATATTTTCACTTTATATGCCACTATGTTGTATTACTCCTATTTTTAAGGGAGGGCATTAACTCACTGCAAATTTTGAAATTCGATTCCTCCTTCCACAGTTCAGTGTTATTCTCTAGGAGGAAGTTTATAATAGTCTCGAATCACTCATGATATTGGGAGTATATGATTTATTTCAATTGTAATCATCAATGAATATTAATAACCTCTTTGACTTTCATTTTCTTACTGATTTCTCCTTGAAATAATTAAATGTCAACATCTCACGAAGTTCTTTCTCCAAGGAACTCTTAGAAACAAGAATTGTCAGCATGATTCTGATATAATAAGGTCCACAGGACACTATTTATGACGATTCTCCATTATATTTGATTCTCACTGTTATGTATCTTACTGATTATCGCATTACACTGATCTGGCAAATATAGATGTAAAATTCCTCATCATAAAATAAAGCAAGTTATGTACACCATTGATTCATTCCGTTATATTTGATTCTCACTGTTATGGAACTTGGTGAGCTGAGATATATACACCATTCTATGTGGTTTTGAAGTGTGTAACGGAGACACAGAACAAGGTTGGCATCACCGACCGGATGTGGGCTAGACTGCTCGCTTCGACTAATCAGCCAAGTTTTTTGAATTACAAAGAGCATATACGAGGGAAACTCAACGTAGAATATTTGAAAATGATCGAGGATTTGCGAGGATTACGTGAAGGAACACAACCAGCAACTCCCTCTGAGAATGAGTTTGGTGAGGACATTCAGAAGAGCACCGACTCTTCTCCATCTGCTCGAGGTTGAACTGAACCCCCATCCTACGTATATGGTGTTCTCTCTGAGAATGAGTTTGGTGAGGGCATTCTCCATCTGCTCGAGTTTGAACTGGACACCAGTCCTACATATATGGTGCTCTCTCTCTCTCTAAAGGATGTTTCCCACTTACTGTATGTCCATCTTCTATGTAATATTTTTTCTGTGTTGATCATAGATAAAAGCTCTCTCTTTCTCTCATGGATTAATTTTTTCTGTTCATTGAATTACATTTTACTTAGCATATGACTTTTTTTGTATTTCCAGAAATATGATGCTAGAAAATTTTGATATTTTTTAGCATCTCACTAAAAACCTATTGCACCCTTGTAACAAATTAAATGACAGATGATTGATAATGATTGATACCCTTGTTACTCCACAAATTTCAGTTCTTGAAATGGCAATGCATAGACTTTTCTTTTTTTGGGTTTTTTTTTTATGTGATTTTACATATGCTTTGCGATGATTGACATAGAGAGAACATTTGGGTGGACTTCTATAGTGGTCACCCCAAATTATATTGATCCTAGCGAAGATAATTTTCTTTTGAAAATAAATTTCTCATATTTTTTTGGATATTTCTTCTTTTCTAAGTATAAATGACTGTGCGCGCAAAATTTGGAATAAAACAAATGCACCTGGGCCCTCATATTGGGAGAGGGCAGATATATTGCACTGTCCTTGAGCAAACCAAATATTTCCCCTTAGATAGATATGGCATTCAATTCAAGTTTTCTACATCTTGTAGATAATGTTTTTTAGCAAAGGAATGCCTATGCATTTTCATTCACATTTTACCTCTTGAGCTAGAAAATTCACAGTTTATAGGGTTCTGTTTGTGCAAGCATTTTACAATTAAGCAGCAGCGGCCTCTTGTATAGATCGCTAATTAATTGACTGTAAGATCTTTTATTAATCGACTATAATATACCCCATTCTTGTGAGTTGCATTTATTAGAGCGATCCACAGATTGCATACCTCTATCTCCATTAATAGAAACTAAAGCCCTTATTTTTTGTTGAGCAGCATTTCGGGTAAGTCTTGAATGGCCCTTTCGAAAGGTAAAAAAATTTGCCCCAAAACAGTCCGAAATAAGTTGACCTAGCCTTTTCTTTTTTTAAAAAAAAGATCATAGTAAATGTTAAAGACTCATGTGCCATTGGTTTGCTTCTCCTACCAAGAGCAAGCACAAAAATTAACTACTTTTTTTTCGTATAGATTACGGAGTTGAATTTTTTTTTTAATGTGTCAATGGGTGGTGTAACCCGGATTGAAAACCACAACGTGGTAACTAGGTACGGGGGTGCTACCACCACGCTCTGCCCCTTTCCTGAGTTCCATGTAAGTTGCATGAGTGTCGTAGCTCAAATGTGAGTTCCATGTAAGTTGACTAAGTGTCATAGCTCAAATGTGTCATGGGACTGAAAGAGAAACCAGATGAGGGAAGCTTTATAAATGAACTTGCTAAGTTTGGTTTGTGTATCGGAAAAATTCATGTACTCTACAAAAAAAAATTTGTAAAGAGGTTGGTTGTGCTCTTCTTGTTGCATTTGAGAACTTTGTCCCCCCATGATGTGCTCTGATCTTCTCAATGATCTCTCCACTCTGGCTTTTTGTTGGCTTGTTTAATTTGCCTCTCTCTCTCTCTCTCTCTCTCTCTCTCTCTCTCTCTCTCTACTCT